CGTGTGCGACGAGAGAGATGCCCCGGTAGTTGCCGCACTCCATCGTGTCCTCCTTCTTGAAAAGCACTTTGATCGTGGCATTCTTCCACTGCTGTGGTACGTCCCCAGTCTGCCACACGTCCACGACAATGGCGTGGAACTCGCGGAGGAGACCTTGATCTCCGTCCAGGAAAAGCTTGATCAGCTCAGCCGGTAGGTCGTCCGGCCCGACGGCCTTTCTGTTGGCCATTTCCCGTACCGCTTCCTCAACCTCAAGTAGAGATGGGATGTCGTCGAGTGGCACGCACGTGGGCCACCGCTTGACCTTGTCAGCCGCAGGCAGGTCGATGGTCGGCGACTTGGTGTTGAGAAGCTTGTGGAACCACCGTGCCCACCGTTGGCGAATAAACGTGGGGTTCCGAAGGACCTTGCCGTCCTCGTCCTTGATGTTCTGAGAGGTGAACGACTTCTCACCTTCGACGTCGATCATCTTCAGGTGCCTGTAGAATCCCGTCTGATCCCCCTCGCGGCTCTTCTTCTCGAGCTGCGGTACATAGCCCGCGAAAAACGTTTGCAGTGCTCTCCACCTCGCGATGCTGCGCTTCTTCCGCGCCGCCTTGAGCATCGCCTTCAGGGTCGCCTCGAAGGCGCTGTTCTTTGAGGCCCCACGCAGTTGCTGCTGGGCCGCCTTAATCTCCTTCGACGCTTCGGAGATCTCGTGCTGCGCTTCGCTCGTGTACCAGCCTCTCTGCCCTCGTGCGCACCTCGCCAGCGGCGCGGTCTCAGCAGCGGCCGACATCACCGTAGCCGTCAGCTCGGCGGCGGTCTCTCCCGTTGGCCGCCTGAGCGCCGTGGGCGGAGGGCGGCTGGAGGCCCTGTTTTGGAAGGCGTCCCGTAGGTGTTTGTCCTTCCTCAACCGCTCGAGGTCGATACGGATCCGGCTGCTTCCGCTGTTCCCCCGCACTCGTCGGTCGGGTGCGACACGGGGGGGGAGGCGGACAGTCGTAAGCACGAGGTTGTGGTCAGTGTCTTTGAAGTCGACACGTTTGACGGAGACATTGCGCACGAAACGCCGGTCCGCCTGACGCATGAGGATGAAGTCGAGGCGGTACTTCTCCTTCTCCTTGTTGGAGCTCTGGAATGTGTGCTGCACTCCACCTTTCGGTGTTTGGAAGTAGGTGTTGGTCAGGGAGAGTTGGTTG